CGAGGAACTCATCTAGGATACGTAGGGTTATGCCATATAGCGTTTCCGCCGGCGAGGCCAGCAGATCCTCCTTGAAAGTTGGGCGGAGACCTAGCATACCAAGTGGAAGCTCTGATGGCCATGGAATCTCTGGGGAGCACTTTAAGGCCACCTTGAACGTGCGATGGAAGCGTTCGAGCATACTGTATGCCTAGAAATGGTAAAGCACTGTCCTGATGCACTGCGCTCCAAGGTAGCCAGCAAGAGCTGAAAACAGGGCCGACTTAAACTGCGCGCCCTGATCGATGGTGATGACGAGAGGCGTCCCTTAGAGCGCTACCCAGTGCTCGACGAAAGCCTTGGCAACTGTCGTGTCTCTTGCTGACCTGGCAGGAGAACGGCCACGGGCCACCTGGTGAATCTGTCAATCATTGTCAAGCAGTATTGGAGGCCTTGATTTAGTGGAAGCTTGACGAGATCCAGATGAACGTGGTCAAAGCGTGCGCTGGGGACCTCGAAAGTTTCTAGGGCCACGCGATTATGCAGATACACCTTGGCCTTCTGGTAAGCGATGCACTGTTGGGCCCAGCGCACTGTACCCTTTTTTATCGCAGGCCAGTAAAATTTGCTAGATATGGCCTTGACTGTCGCTCGTATACTAGGGTGAGCGAGGTTATGGACTACCTCGAACGCCGCCTGACGCAGAGTGGCTGGCAGGTAGGGCCGTACTCGGTCGGAGGAGATGTTGGCGTACAGACGGTTATCCTCAACCTTCAAAGCTTACAGAGAGAAACCTGGGTTTGGCAGCAGGTGCTGCGCTGACAGGAGGTGTAACCGTTTTACCTTAAGAACCTCTTCGGAGACTGTCTTGTCCGCCAGGTTGCGCATGGCGCGCAGGAGCTTGGAAGAAGGCTTGTCCCCAAGCTCTAACTTGTTGAAAAGTTGATCAAGCCGCGTATCATTTGATTCTGAGAAACACTCGAGGATAACTTTTTTTAATGACAGCTTAAAAGTATTTGGTGTGGTCATTTTTCACTTTGTACACCGTAAAGGATGACTTTAAGTGCTGTATTCAACCTGCTGGGCTGTAAATCCAGAGTGGAGGAAGATGAGGGTAAGCTGGCGTCGCCATGGCAGGTGGGGGGAACTGGCTCTTCCACAAGGCTGGGCTGCTGCTGCTCGGAGAGGGCCTACAGCTGTTTTTGCAGGAGCTGCTGCTCTAGCTTTCTGTTGCTCGCGGCAGCGCACGCTGGCCTCCCGTTTGCTGAGTTGCTGGACCCCGTTTGAATCTTTTCCGCGGAGTCAAACTCACTTTTGTCCGACACCTTGAAGTGTGCGATGCCCGCGACGTGTCTGCGGCAGCGTGCGTGCGTGGAGGAAAGCGAGCGAGTTGAACAAACCCTTCCGTCAGAAGAGACAAAAAAAAATTGCACTGCGCTCAAACTTTGACCGTGGGAGTACGTCCGCGGACGAGGCGCTGCGTGAAAACAAAAAAAAAAACAGGGTACGAAAACATTCACTTGTCCGTGCACACAAGAGTAAAGAAACGAGAAATACTGCACCCGCACTGCTGACGAAGACTGCGAGTTCTGTAGCGACGAGCACTTTGTACACGCGGGTACGCGCGATGTGTGGTCGTCGAGGTCGACGGCAGCGAAAGGCCGCGTGAGAGAGGAAAAGTACGAAAGCAGCTGATCACGTGTCGCAACGATGTGCAAACAAAAAGAAAAAAAAAACTCGCTTGCAGGAGGTGACGCCGGGTGCATGAGGTGTCGCGCGGGCAACAGTAATTCACCTTGAGGAAATTCAATATTTTGAGCGCCTTCCATTATCAATGGTCGATATTTAAAAAAGGAAAACAGCGATCTGTTGGAGGCGGATGCGAAGAGCAAATACAACACAGTATCATATTTTCCTTATTGATGTATATTTAGTGACGTTTCGCTGGACGGTAAGCCAGCCTCATCAGGCTAAAGCTAAAAATACAAAAAACACACTTTTGTGAGAAACACACAAACAATGTTACAAGTACGAAGGTTGACGACAAGGATTTCCTATTGTAGACGAATATTAACATTAAAATTGACAAAATTTGCAAGTACAATACATATAAGATTTAGTTAGTTATTTCGAGAACCACATGTTCTCTCGTCGGCGAATAAGTATAAACTGTCGATCGAGCTGTATGAATCCGCACGAAGAAAGATAAGCACGATAAACAGAAACCGAGTAGGAAAGGAAGGTGATGAACTTGAGCTACAGGTGTTTAAGTTTCTTCCTGTTTATTAATACTATGTTTATTGTGCTTAATGTGTACCATCTCAGAGATTAGCTTTTTATGGTAGTTAGATTCTCTGTCTAAAATTTGTATATTGTCCCAATCAAACGTGTGATTATATTAAAGTTGGTGAGAATGAACTACTGATTCTATTTTTTCATTATTTTTGTGTTCGTTAGTCCGGAATTTTAAGGCTCGTTTTGTTTCACCCGTATAAGAAGTTGGACATGCTGGATATTTACAATTGAATCTGTAGATAGCGTTGGTTTCGTCCCATTTCTCGGTCTTGTCTTTCCCCAATTTAATAATTTGGTTTAGTTTCGTTACGTCGTGGCTCTTCGACGTAACTTTAGCGCGCGAGAATTTGAATGTAGCGTGCAGCGCGCGGACAGCAAATGCGTTTGCGTTTAGCAGCGTTTGTAATGAAATTAAAGTATTAAAAGTAATTTACCAGTACCTTTACGAGTAATGGATAATTAGCAGCTGACACCTCTCCTGGGTTTGCCAGTGAAGTAAATTGCTTGTTAAGCCGGTAGTATAATACAAAAAAAGAAAAGCTCAATTGAATCAACAGCAAAACTTGCTTTATTGAATCACAAATATTATAAGGATAATTTAGACAATCGGAAATTTAATATTATAACTCGCTGTAGTTAATGCCGGCTACTTGTTTGTTAGTCAACGGATTCTCCAGGAAAGAGGGTGAGCTCGTAGGGCGCGGTTCTATTTAAACCCTTAATCGGATCGATAATTGGGGGTAGGACCGGTGGTAAGTCAAGGTGTGGAGGTAAATTTTGATTAACATATTCGTGAAAAAAAGGTGCAGCTACCGGTGTAAGCCAGCTGTTGTATTTGGCGGGGGTGGCGTTAGAAAGCAGGAATTGCTGGTGAGCACGCAATTGATCGAGCGTGCGTTGGTATCGATTTATGGGTGCGGTAGCTCGGTGACGGAAACCATATAATATTTGTTACCGACAGTGGGAGGGCGTCACTAGACGTGACAGTTTTTTGTTAATAATAGAAAAAATAAGTATATTGTAGTCTTTCAATAGTGTCGACATCCTGTTGTAGCTGTTTTTTGCATATGGTATGCCTATTTTACCAGAAAGTTTTATAGGTGCTGAAACATTTTTATAAACATGTATTTTTTGTTTTTCGGATGTATTTTTGTTTGTTTAATCCACGTTTTATATTTTTATTAATAAATTGTATGGGATAACCATTCTGTAATAGGAACTAATTAACTTTTGTACCCCAGCGGAAATTTGAAAACGTCCCAATTGAAAATGTCTAATAAAAACTGATAAAATTTTTTTGCGTCTGCTTCTATTCGGTTTTTGCACTAGGAAAACCCCATAAAAAACAATGTTTGGAAGTTAATTTTTCTCATATCTATTTTTTTACTAGCATGAGATTAAACATAAGTAAATTATCAATTTCAGTCGTACCATCTGAATGGCAACACCAAAACAGGGGGGTTCAAGTATTTTACATAGAATCTTTAAAAAAGTAAGAAAAAAACTTTTTATTACAGTTTCACGTGAAACACATCAACCCTGCTGTTTTGGTGTTGCCATCCAGATGGTAGAACTGAATTTGTCAATTTACTTATGTTCAATCTTGTGCTGGTAAAAAAATAGATATGAGAAAAATTAACTTTTGAACGTTATTGTTTTTTAGGTGGTTTTCCTAGTGCAAAAACCGAATATAAACAGACAAAAAAAAATTTTATCAGTTTTTATTAGACGTTTTCAATTGGGGTAACAAAATATAAGAAAAAGTGAACATGTGTAATAATATGCCGTTACCCGCAAGAAAATGTAAGGAACTGTAATAGTCTCATGGATTTTGGACGTTTCTTACACTTTATTATGTTGTGTTACGTTTTTGTACATTTTCTTACGTTTTAATATGATTTACCAGATGCTGTTACACTTATACTTTTTCATAATAGTTACTAAGTTTTTTTCATTTAAGGAAAATTTTATTCGAAAATGTAATTAAATGTGTCTAAAAGTTATCAATGATGATAAAATATAAAAAAATTTAATTAACTGCAAAAAACTGTAAGCTGTTACAAAACATTACAGATGACAACACTTCCTTACAGTTTATTAGAGTTTACTATACAGTTTAGCATAGTTGCTTTTTCACGAGATTCAAGTGTCTTTTAAGAATTATAATAAAATGTAACAAATCGTAAGACAATGTGTTGGGTTGTAGTTAATTGACTTTAATCAAACGTAACAAAACGTAACAAACTGTAACTGTGGTCCGAAATATAACCAAACTGTACATTACATCACAGAAAGTTACGGTTTGCTACGTTTTTTTACACTAACTTTTTCCGTAGGGGTAATATTTGTTTTGTGAAAATCTCTACTTGATAGTAATACAGCTCTAATGAACACTCGCTAAGACAAACAGGAACTGGTTGGCTGTGAGAGCTAATATGTATGCGGCACAACGGTCATGAAGAGAGGGAGCGAGAGAGAAGACGTGCAATAGGAGAAAGAAATCCCCACAACTTAAGCACAAGTAGAAGGAGACACAGCATCGAACGTGGGTATATGTCTCTCTTGCATGTTGCCAAAGGGGGGAATTTGCGAGAGAGACAGATACCCACGTTCGATGTTGCGTCTACTTCTACTTGTACTTCAGGCTTCAGCGCCGTACATGTATGAATGTAAGAAGGAGCAGTCTTTATTTCTTATGTGTCTATGGCCGTAGTAGCCTTTAATGTAGTGGTTAGTTGTATCTGTCAAACTGTGTGTCTCCTATGAGTCTGACATGCAAAGCTTGATGAGATTATGAAAGTATAAGTATATTTTGGCTTAAGCATTTTCACTATGTTATTTAGAGTATTGAGAACAGTTTACAAAAAAACCTCAAAATGTGTCTTTTCAAACGAAAATTCTTGCTTGTACATCCACAAGTCAACGTTGCTTAAGTAAGCAAATTTTTTCATATCATATTAGAGTAAACTAGTTATGTAATCAGGCATAACAATTATTCATTTCTGTAAGCGTAATCTCTCAACTAAAGTGTAATTTGATCTTAGTAATGTACGTCAGTAATAATGTCTATTATGCAAAAATTTGTTGGAGTCAATATAGCAAACAAAAAGTACATTTATTCTTTTGTTAAGCCTACTTCGTCGGCTCATTCGAAAATAACTTTTTTTAAATAAAATTGTTTTATTATCAAAATAGATTATTAAAATGTATCAGTCTGTTTGAAAAGTATAACAGTGAATTTGATATATACTGTAAGAGCAAAAAAAATGTATTTAACTTGAATAAAAAATGTTGGAATCAAGAATTTATTTTTGTAATTTTTTTATTTCAGCAATCGAGCAGCTTCATATTGGTTCCCCAATAAAGAACATTTCAAAGAATTAATGAGCTTACCTTCCATGGAAACTCTTCATCCAACTAAATGGGATTTTCCTTCTCATATAAAATATCAGATGTTACCTCCAAAAACAATCAAGAATATGAAAGTTAACTTTGGTCCCCAACATCCAGCAGCTCATGGTGTACTAAGACTTGTGTTAGAATTAGATGGTGAAGTAGTTTTGAATGCAGATCCGCACATAGGGCTTCTCCACAGAGGCACTGAAAAATTAATAGAATATAAAACGTACATTCAAGCATTACCTTATTTTGATCGTCTTGATTATGTATCTATGATGTGCAATGAACAAGGTTTTTCTCTTGCAGTGGAAAAGCTCCTGAACATTGAAGTTCCTGTGCGTGCCAAGTATATACGAAGTATGTTTAAATAATTATTCCCTAAAACTGTTTCTAAATTACGTTTAAGATATACAATATGTTAAAATTTGATTGTATTCTGGAGTGTAGAAAGTATTTTACTTATTTATCTTATAGTTTTGTTCATTTATCCACTTTGGAGCTCTAGAAGGCCTCCTAGCGATCTATAATTGAACACGTATTCGTTATCAGAGCGCTTGGAGGCCACCGAGCTGTCTATATTCACTGCGCAAGTGTATTGGCGCCATATGATGCCAGAATAGCGCGAACTTGCCTAACGATTTGGGGCTTAATGCATTGTAAGCCACAAATAACACGATTACTGACTAATTATTATAATTGACGTAAAAACAATGAGAATCTCAATAACTAAGATTGATCTAGTTACACAGCTTAAAGTGCAGAAGCAAAGAATAATAACGTCCATGTTAACGAAGTAAATGAGACGACACCGAATCTGGTAACATAACCTTTGTTTTGTAGTATCGAAGCAGAACGAACTGAGCTGGCCCGTAAAGTGACGGGAGTACGACGTTACTGACCGTAAATATAGTCTTCACTGGCTTTGTTTCATGATATTTTACTCAAATATAGAACTATCAAGTTTAATTTCTTTTCAATAAACCAATTGTAAAGCTTTCGGTCATGGTAATTATGGTTATCACTATGTCTAACTATTACCCAAAAACTCAACAATATTTGCTGTCGGAGAGCTTACTCTGTTAGCTTCTAAAATTCATTACCTAATGTAATTTCTAAAAGAAAATGAATAAAAAAATTTTGTACAACGATTATAATTTATACAGTAATAGAATAATTACCTAAAATATCAACAGTTATAGGAAAAAAAAACTTCGGCTAATATGGGACATGAACACAAGCCCTCCGTTTATCAGGCAAGCATCTTGCCGCTTGGCCAGAGTGGATGAGATACTAGTCCGACAATTTACGTCTATATAAAGTGTAAGTACCGTGGGTTATTGTTTTTCTTATTCACAACTGAATCATACAATTATTAATAGTTACAATTTTTCCCAATCTTCATTCTGATAGTTAATCAAATAGATAATATTCAGGAACATTATTTTCTTCACAACCAATATTTTCTCTCTTAAAGTTGCTCTTGAGAGGGTTTTATATCCAAGTAAGGCATAAGTTTTTAATAATTATTATAGATGGTTATTTAAATATAATAATAAAGAAAAACTAGAATATAAAACAGGGGGACTTGATGAGTTGTGAATAAAGTATTTAAAAAAAATCCAAATAGCTTGCGTGTATATTATCTTTTTTTTTTAAAACACCTAAAAGTTGGAAATCCTTAAAGCTATTCATGTTATTCCAACTTTTCAAACTTATTTTACTCCTTGATGAATTTCAGATATAGTAATTACTGTAAATTTTTGATACAATACATGTGTAATAAGTTAGGTGTAATTGTTTATACGAAACTGTAGGTTTTCACTCGTTTTTTGCGTTTTCGGTGGTTAACTATCAGAATTAAGATTGAGAAAAATTATATTTGTTATCAATTGTATGATTTAGTTGTTAATAAGAACAATAATAACACACAGTACCTTCACTTTAAATAGACGTAAATTGTCGGACTAGTATCTCATCCACTTTGGCCAAGCGGTAAGATGCTTGCCTGATAAACTGGAGGCTCTAGTTCGTGTCCCATATTAGCCGAAGTTTTTTTTTTTTTCGTATAACTGTTGATATTTTAGGTAATCATTCTATTAATGTATAAATTATAATATACTTGTATCGTTGCACAAAATTTTTTTATTTATTTTTCTTTCAGAAATCTCACCTGAGATCTCAGATGAGAATTCATGAGATATAAGATGAGATCTCGAGAGAGATTTTTCAGGAGGTTTCACCGTATAACTGTTCATTCATAAACACTATACGGAAATATACCTTTAGGGAATATGCCTGTACCACGTGAAATGACGATATATATATGACAATTAGAAGAAAAGTAGTACAGGCCTTACGGGAGAAATTAAGTTTTTTTTCGTGGTGGAGAAGGTGGTGAACACATAAAGTTTCTGGAGTACATATTTTTATTATTGTAAGAGTTAGGTTCTTATTTTTTTTACATGATGAAATCGTTTATCAAGGCCGAAAACACCTTTTCAAAAGTACGAAGTACAGTTTAACCTAACATTAAGCTGCTTGTTTACATCTAAGCAAGCGCAACAGCGACAGTAGCAGAAACGAGTAGCTCAATGTAGGGTTAACTCTACTTCGTACTTTTAAAATGCTGTTTACGGCCTTAATAAACTATTTCATCGTATGAAAAAAGTATTAACCTAACTCTCCTAATGTTAAACATATGTAATCCAATAACTTTTTGTATTCAACACCCTTTCCACCATGAAAACCAATAAAAACTTAATTTCTTCCATAAGGCCTGTACTACTTTTCCTCTAATTGTCATACATATATAGCCATGTCACATAGTGCAAGCATATTTCCAATAGGCTACTTGCTCAAAGACACCAGTGCTAGCTTGTGGCTAAATAGTGCGTCCGCGTTGTAACGAGAATACACAGAGAAGCATCGTTGCCTAAAGTCAATAATTTTTTTCATTATTATGAAGATCCTTTCTAGTAGCCCAATCATCTCAATTAGAATCCTTAACTTCTTAACTTTATGATGATATTTTTTTCAGCATGAGATTTTGCTAAATAAGTAAGAGTGACATATGTTCCTTTGTATTGTGTACATGTGAGCTATATTGCATGCGTTAATACTACTAAGTGTTCTGTATCTCTCTTACACAATTGTCTAACATATGCAATGCAGCTCACATGTACGAGCAACAAAGGAATGTATGTCTTTTTTACAACTTATTAGAGCAAAACTATATCAATGAAAAAAATTATTGACCTTAGGGTACCATGCGTCTCCGTGTATTCTCGTAACCACGCGGACTTACCATTTAGCCATAAGTTAGCACTGGTCTCTTTGTGCATGGAGCCTATACAGTATTCTGACCTAGCTCATAGTCATAGACTATAAAGATGTAGATGACACTCTCCGTCCTCTTTATGGTTCTAAGTAGTGAGTACGTCACCTGGTTAGGCACTAAAGTGCCAGGTTGATCGAATTCACCGAAGTTGGTCCCTGGGTGCCTGAGTCTTTGGTAAATTTTATGAAAAGAGTTCCAACAGGACGTCCTTGAAAGCTTCCCTGGAGATGTATGGATATCTTGAACACATTTAAGAACGCGATTACTTAATTCAACTACTCTAATTGATTGCAAAACAATTACAGATTGAATATTCACCGCAGGTTGTGGAAGAGAGAGAGCCAAAATAAAGCGTCGCAAGCTCCAGCTTAAGCAAAATCTCAATTCCAACTCTCTACTGCAGGAAATCCAAACTCGTTCTATAGCCTGCGAGTTGCGACAATAGTCACGTAGGCCACTTGTTTGTTCTAATTTGTCCTTGAATTGTCCTGAGCAAAGTCGCGAAAATTTCTTCAAAGGTATGCGTGACCGTAAACTCAAAGCCAAGCTTGTTTTGGTTTGAGGTGAGTCATGCCAGTAGTCACGTAGGTCATTTTGTTTACTTAAAGGCCCTTCATTTTGAAGGCCAACCTTGTTGATGCCTAAAACAGAAAAGGATCGATTCCCAAATTCCCGGAAACCTTTTGTATAGCTAGGAATAATATTTCTTTATTGTTATAAATGTTTGATCCTAATTGTTATAGTTTAATTGCTATTAACCGAATTTTTTTTATTTAAATGGCTAAATTTGCCGCGCCAGGCCGAGAAAACGGCAGTGTTGTCTAAATTAGGATGAGTATAAGGATGAGCTCCTCACAACAATAGTCTACAACAGCTCGGATGCTGCGCAGGTCTTCGAGCTCTCTGAAAAAGAACGCTCCCAGGTAGATAAATGAACAAACCTTATGTATGACACTATTTTTAATACGTTTTTAGGCAGAACCCTTAGATTTTTAAGTAAATTGTATATTTTAAAGTAAAAATTCACTAGTACAATTCAATATAATGTACTATAACGTACAACTTTTCTTACAGATACATTTAAAACTATTGTAGTTTATGTTCCTATCAATTTCAAAAAAGTATTATGATTTTTAACTTTGCTTTTTGATGTGTGTATTGTATTACGTGTTAAAGAAAAGCGTGAAGTATCTTAATTATCTTAATCTTTAATTCCCTAGATATTTCAACTCTTGTCAAAATGCATTCTGGGCTTTTTCGTGGATGCTAGATTTAAGTGTCTATAGTGTATAATGTCTGAGTTACGTGACACAAACAAGAGCTGTTGCTTACCAATTGTGCTGTTTTGAAAGCATTCCTAAAAATACTGAAAGTCACTCCACTTCTCCAGACAGCTTTAAGCGTTTCGTTTTAGATGCTGAACACATTCATCTTCCAGAAATAGACGCTTAACGTCCTATCAATAATTTTTTGTGTGCCGTGACTATTATCAATAGCTTGGGCTGGCATAACATTGGTATCGCTTCCAAAAGGTATGATTAGTCATATACTATTTCCTTTACCTTTAGATTTAATAATTAAGGATAAGTCTTCTATCATTCCAAGAAAGTCTTAAAAATAGTAGACAGGAATTTGCGTGATTAATGCAATACAAACTATTTCAGCTAAAAAAAAATAAAAACCGAAAAAAAATGAGAGTTTTCAATTCAGATAATTTATCATCGTGACCTCTTTTATATTATACAGAAGGCATTATCCTATAGTTTTAGCATTCGCTGTAATCAATTGATAGCAAGGACAAAGCTTTGATAGTATATTAGAAAAACTCTACTTATTGTCGGATAATTGTATGTAGCCTTATTACGATGAAATACAGTCAAGGATGTTAAGGGAGTTGGGTCGCTCCCGCGGGGAGGTAAAGAGGGGCACGTGTATGTTCATAAGGCACCGTGCTAAAGTCTGCTGTACTAACCTAGCCTAAAAACATCCGCCCTTTCGATTACGGAAAATGCATTTGTGT